TGTAGTCCCAGCTACTTGGGAGGTGGAGGCAGGAGAATCACTTGAGCCCAGGAGTTGGAGGTTGCTGTGACCTATGATGCCATGGCACTCTACCCAGGGCAACAGCTTGAGGCTCTGTCTCAAAAACAAAAAAAAGAATTGGGTGGTGCCTGTGGCTCAAAGGAGTAGGGCGCCAGCCCCAGGCAGGTTCAAACCCAGCCCCGGCCAAAAACTGCAAAAAAAAAGAATCAGCTGGCTGGCTGAGCACCTGAAGCACAGTGGTTACAGGCTGCCAAGTACAAACCCAGCCCAGCCCAGCTAAACAACAATGACAATTACAACAAAATAATAGCCGGGCATTGTGGCAGGTGCCTATAGTCCCAACTACTTGGGAGGCTGCAGCAAGAGAACTGCTTAGGCCCAAGAGTTGGAGGTTGCTGTGAGCGGTGATGTCATAGTACTCTACCAGGGGTGACAAGGTAAGACTCTGTCTTGAATAAAAAAAAAAAAAAAGAGTCAGCTGGTTGTGGTGGCTTGCCCATATAGTCTCAGCTATTCTGGAGGCTGAATCAGGAGGATCACTTGAGCCCACAAATCTGAGGCTGCAGTGAGGCATGATGTACTCCATCATGGGCAATGAGGGAGACCCTGCCTTGGGAGAAAAAAAGCAACAAATGAAGTCTAGCATCAAAGAAAAAAAATTGAAAAATATATCATATTTTGAAACGAATAATGTGAGCTGATGATCCTCCTGAAGCTTATTTTATGTAGGAAAACAGAAATTGAATAAACTAAGAATTATCTCAAGCTTCAAACAAGAATGCAATTACTGAAAAGAAAAAAATGTAAATCCATTAGGAAAAAGAGACAGAAGTACTTTCCATGGTCTTTTTTTTTTTGAGACAGAGTCTCACTATGTCGCCCTCAGTAGAGTGCTGTCACATCACAGCTCACAGCAACCTCCAACTCTTGGGCCTAAGCAATTCTCTTGCCTCAGCCTTCCAAGTAGGTGGGACCATGGGCATCTGCCACAATACCCGGCTATTTTCTGTTGCAGTTGATTAGCTGTCCTGGGCTGGGTTCAAACCTGCCACCCTTGGTGTATGTGGCTGGTGCCGTAACCACTGTGCTGCCAAGCCTCAGTGATCCTTTTAATAGGCACCTGGTAACAAAGACTCAGTCACTTCTTCCCCATTTTACTCCCCCACTCCCAGCACCATCCAAAGAAAAAGGATGACCCACCATTGAGTAAGGCAAGTCACTGTCCTCTGCTGAATAGGAATTGCAACTAGAGGCAGGCTTTGATGCACCAGCCTTACAGACGCGAGTTTTGCAATTCTCATTCTCATGTATAATTTATGCAAATTCCGAATTTATTACATTATATAGAAATAAAACATATATGTCACAACTTATATGTTTTCATCATATCATCACTCAGTTGAACCCAAGGTTCTCCTCTTTCTTCACTACCATGTTTCCCAATCTCATTTTGTACACATCTCTCACTCGCCTTTTCTTTCCTGCTCTTTTTTTCTTTTCTGTGTTTCCCTCTGGGCTTCTCCTCGGTACTCCTGCTCTTACATCTGTTCTCCAT